GCTCCTGGAGCTTTGGGACAAGGTGGGCTTTGGAGTCAGATCTGGGCTCGAGTCCCGGGTTGGTCGCTTAGCCCCATCAGCAGCAGCAGTGAGGCGCTGGAAACGCCGTGGGGAGCATGGGGTGGCGTGGTGCATAGGCAGGGGGCGCGCAGGCTGGTCGTCATGCGGCAGCAGCACCCGCCTCCCCATCTGCTGCCTGCCTGTGTGTCTGCGGGAGTCCCCTCCTCAGAGAGCAGAAAGCCTCACCTCCCTGAGGGCCCTGGGGCCAGGATTTGGGAAGGATGGAAGCCCTGTGGGTCAAGGGTACACATAGGAGAAAGCGTGTTAATTTTCGGGAGAAGGCTGGGATCTGAGGCACCCAAGGAAATCCATTCTTGGTGTCAGAAAACTTTGGATTCTCCAAGCCCCAGTCCCAGGGAGGAAGAAGGGGTGGGGGAAGAGAGAGCGAGGGAGTGAGAGAGAGAGAAAGGCAGAGGGGGGGTGGTAAGAGCAGGAGAGGGTGAGCACACAGCTCTGTAATGGAAACTTGGCATGCAGCCTCTACTTCTTTTCTTCCTTAGTGCATGTGGTTTGAGTCTCGGGTTGAGAGCGTCTTCCCCTTTCAGCAGGCACCCGACATGATCTCCATGGCCCACTCCTGTCCCCCACTTCTCAGAGCCTGCAGTTATGCACCCTGCCTCCGCCGGTGACACATGACATGTGAGCCTCCTGCCTCCTTCCTCATGTGCCCCCTCCCCTTGGACTAATTAGGCCAACATACAACTTCCAGGGCCTGGCAGATGAGGAGCCAAGAATGCGGTGGACAGGTGCCAAGTGTTTTTGTTGACATTGCTCAAGTGCAGCTTTGTGGAGCAGCCTCTGCTGGAGCAGAGAAGTCCAAGGAAGTCTGAGATGAGTGAAGGGAGAGCAGGGAGAAACCCAAGTGGGTGCCTCTTCCAATCCCCTCTGCTCCTCCTCCTAAATCCAACAAGAGAGCCGCCCAAGTCGTAACCCATGGGACCGGCTTAGTCTGTAAGAAGGCCACGCTGAGCGGAGCGCCATGCGTTCAGTGGGGTTTTTGGAACCTTTTTCTCTTCTGTTTGTGGTGGCTTCATGCGGTATATGCCTCACCACAGTTCCTGATTGTTTCTGAGGAAACGAACTTCCTGGAAGTAGGTTTAGGGAAAACTGTCTTCGCCCCTAAACTGTTAAAAGGTTCGGCTGCATTGTTGATCTGCTTCACTGTAGCTGAATAATGCAACCAGATGGACTGCATCCTCCCCAGTGATCTACAATGAATGTGGCCATTGGGTCACCAGACCTGGGTTCAGATCCCCGTTCTGCCCCTCTCATTGCTTGCCGTGTGACCTTGGGTGAGTCTTTGAACCTCTTCATGCTTTGGTTTCCTTATTTGCAAATGGAGCTAATAGTTCAAAATAAGACTGCTGTTAAAATGAAACATGGATGGAATTGAAAGTTCTTCGCACGTAATAGACACTCAATGAATGGGAGCCATATAGCTATTAAATGGTAGTTGGTGTGGTTGGCTATGGATTGGCTCTGATTTTAGGCATATCTCTTCTACCCTGATTTATTTACTCCAGAGGTAGGTCGATCCAGCACCAACTGCCCCTGCCTACCTCACCAGGATTTTGTGAGGACAAATTGAATGGGGCATAATATTGTTACACTTGGTTCTCAATGGGGAAGGAAGTGAATGCAGTACTTGCTGTCATCACTCTGATTTTCTCGGACTCTGGTCTCTGCATTAGTAGTTCAGTGGTTAGTGGTCAACTATATTTTTGTTGAGATAAAAATTTGTAGGTTTTGGAATCCAGAGGTGCTGCCTTAATAGTCTCTAATGCCTGAAGATATTGAATCATTATGTAAAAAAAAAAATCCTCTAATTTTCTGCTACAATAGCTGGCTTTATTTTTACATCTCCTAATTGGTATCAGCTTTTCTTTCAGAATTACAGAACCATGGAAACTTGGCCTGAGAAAGAACTTTGGAAGTCATTGGAAGGGACACTTGCTTCTTTGCAAATCTTTGGAGTCTTCCTAAACATTCAGATTGCAGTACCACAAAGCACTTTTCTCTGACCCCGATTATGAGAACAGCAGGGTGGCCAATCTGTTGGTCCATAGCGCGACTCTACCTTTGGATCTTACGCAGGCTGGGAAATGTCTTTGGTGCCCCGCCTGTATCTCTTCGTTCTTGCCTCTAGCGCCGTTTAAATTTTAGCACCTGCATCTTACTGTCTAAGGCCTTTTCCTGGGCACTAGAGCCCACCTGGGACACCCATATGCCAGGTGAGAGGTGCCAGGGAATTCATGGCCCCTGGGAATAGCCTTCAACCAGTGGCAGACCAGGAATAGGTGGATACATACTTAAGCTTGCTTACTCCTGAGTGTCTGAGATACCTGTCCACCCTGACCCCCAGAGCTTTCCAGGGAGGCCAAGCTCTAGTTGACTCATTTTGGTGACTGGCTTGAAGTGTACCATCTCTTGGCTGGTTCGCCTTCCCCATCCCATGTTCCTGTTCCCCTACAGGTGCTTCCTGGGATCACCCCCACCCCCAATAGGAAACACCTGTGTTCAAATCCTCATTTCCGGGGCTGCTGTGGAAACCCAGCCCGAGACAAATGGGTTGTCTTTCTCCACACTTTTGTAGGTTGTTTGTGACAATGCGGTGCTATACTCACATTTCAGGGCTGCTTGTTGGATTTTCAGGCCACTGACCTTATTGTTTCTTCATGAGTTTTTGAGATTTTTTTTCTCCGCTTGTCACCGTTCTTAATCCTAAGAATTAACCGTTGAGGTTAACCAGACGACACAAATGCCTTGCTTTCACCTTGAATTATCTCTGGTACTGTTCTCTTAGTTATGACTAAACTGGTGTATGTGGCCACCATGTAGGCTTTTGTATTTCAGAATCTAAACTGATTGTTTATCCTAGTTAGGCTCCACATTTCTACATTTGTGTGTGTGTGTGTGTGAAAGAGAGAGAGAGAGAGAGAGAGGGAGAGATATGCCTAAAATAGCTCTTCTGGCTAATATGTGTTAGTTGTAATGAGATACCTTGATAATTTTATATCTGATGGCAGATTCTGTTTGACTGAGGAAGACCTTAGTGCATGAGCTGCTGCAGTTACATGTGTCCTGTGGCTTAGGTGAGATTCCCACAAGCACTGTGATTTCCAGAAACTTCCATGAGTCTTATGTTGTCCATACCCAAAGTGGGAATAGTTATTTCAATACTTACTTACTGAGCACCTCCTCTGAGTCAGGAGTGATTCGGTGTTAGAGAGACAATAGTGGACAAAGTGGACAACATCCCTGCTCCCTCTTTCTTTCCCAAACAGTGTTGTGAGGTTCAAATTCAACAATGAAGTTGGAATCATTTGGGAAACTAAAATCACCATGGAAATAGAGGAATGGGTATGATGACCTTCAGCTCTTCATTGCCTATTTCAGAACACCACACTGATGTGGCTGGATGGGGTGCACCCTCTGGCCTTTCGTGAAGACCATTCAGCCCATGAATTAGACCCTTATCTTGTACTTAGATCCATTTTCTGCCCACAGCAAGTCTGGACACTCAAGAAATGTCCCTTGCCTCATGCCACATCTTTCTTTAGTGCTAAGCTACCAGGAAGACCATCTTTGCTTGCTGTTTCCACCTCCCGGTGGCCTTCTGATGTCAGCTCTGTTGTTTCTTGGCCTTTGTCTTACTTAATTTGTTTATAGTGGTCAAGGACATTGGCCGCTCCTGAAATTCCCTTTTGCTGACCTTGCCTTATGCCATTTCCCGTCCTCTTTCCCTTCCTTTTATGACCCACTGCTGAATTCTTTTAGTCTACTTGCTCTCTGAAGGAATGTTGAGTTCCCCACGATATCTTCTCTTCTCTTTAGTCCCCTCCACCCTTCTGGAAGACCCCATGCATCATGTCTCATACTCTTCCCTGTTTGCTTATGACCCTCCTGATGCTCTCTGTAGCTTAGCTCACTCCCCTGAGGTGTCTCCACCCACAGGCACACAGGTGGCTTACCTCCCTTTCTGTGCTCCACAGACACTTCAAGCTCAACAAGTCCTTAATGGAACATGCTCCATTCTCCCCTCCAACGTGCCCTCATCTTTGTTTTTCCTCCTGGCACATTGGTCCCTACAGTCATCTCAGCTGGAGACCTCAGCACTGTCAACCTGCTCATCCCGTAATGCATTCAAGTGGTTCAGTGTTTTCACATTTGTGCTTTCATCTCTTGTTTATGGAAGTCTTGTTATGTGGCATTCACTGGCCCAGACTCTAGGGATGTTGACATGGTGTCCTAGCTTGGGCAACCCTCCGGAAGCAGCCCCTGAGAAAGTGTTCAGTTGCGGGAGCTTTATTTGGGAGGAGTAGATGCTGGTGGGCTAGAGACAGTCATGCTGATTTCATGGACCTAATTGTGCCCATCTCTTCCCAAATCCATGTTTAGTGAGGTCACGTGGGTCATGCTGAAATTGGCCATGATGAGAATATTTACTCTATGGAAATTGGCCAGTGGCTCCAAACCAGGACTTTTCCCCCCAGAGAGCTGGTTGTTAAACATTTATCAGCATGTTACTGGGAGTGAGGAATTAAGGCAGGGGAGGACAGCAGTTCATAAATTGTGCTTTATCAGGAGAGTTGCACTGTAGATAGCTGGAGCATAATCCCAGGGGAGAAAATTCTGTAATCCAGTTTAGAATACTCACCTCAACAGTCATCCTGCTGGAGTGGGTAAGGTAGTAATACACCAGTCCCTACTAGTCAGTGGCTGAGGGTGGTCTCTGTTGGGCCCAGCAAGATCCAGCAGCCAGAGGAAGCCCTCAGGCAGTCAGGGGCAGCGTGGATGGAGTATAATGATAAGGCCCAAGGTGGGAGGGATAGGCTCATCATTGAGCAGATGGTGGCTGTTGAAGGCACTAGACATCCAGCATTGGGATAGGCCAAAACCCAGCTATTGGTGATGTGTGGCTGTGATCTTGTTCTCCCCAGACCTCGACTTCATGGACCTCCTAGGAGAAGACCGACAGTGGACGGTGGGGAGGAAGTTAATGCAGGTGAATGACACTCTGACTTCAGAAGATGCAGGACTCCGAAGCAGTAAGAACTGCACCGAACCAGGTAACAGTCACAGCTGCGCTGTGGGCAGTGGCTGCCATTTTGTCGGGTTATGGCTGAGGAAGAGCTGGACGCCATGCTTTCCCTTTGAGTTCTAACCCAGAGAGCTCTCAGGGACATTTAGGGCAGGTGTCTAAGAAACAGAAAGGTGATATTCCCAGGGGATTCTACCTCTGTATTCTTTTTCTAGGGCATGGGTGAAAAGGTAAGTCAGTCAGTGATCCTCCTGATTCCGTGCTGATATCAAATGTGGAGGCTGGTGCTCTCAAGTGGGAAACTGAGTTGGGAGCAGGATGGGTGAGGATGTTCTCTGGCCATCTTTGCTTTAATCCCTGGAATCCTCTGTGGCTGGTTTTTAAGCAAGAGCCTTGTTTCTGTCATAGTAAAGACACAGGGGTTGAACCATATCCTTAGCTGTGTTGTTGGTCTTCTTGGAAGAAATGAATATTCATTTATCAGCTGTCATATTTGATATCTGTTGTGTCTTTCCTCAGAAAGACCTGGAACGTTTTATCTCCAATGTATTGAACTTGAAAGGAAAGCAAACACAAAGGGAATGAAGGGGACTTGGAATTGTCAGAACTCAGCTCACCAGATCTCAGGAAAGGCGAGCACCCTCTGGATGGATGAGGGCCTTGCTAGTTTAGACCAGGGGTCAGCAAGCTTGTCTCACAAATGGCCAGACAGGAAATATTTTAGCCTTTGCAGGACATATGCCGTATCTATAGTTTTTGTTTTTTTAAAACATCGTTTTTTTGTTTTTTTTTTTAAAGATTTTATTTGACAGAGAGAGAGAGAGAGACAGCAAGAGAGGGAACACAAGCAGGGGGAGTGGGAGAGTGAGAAGCAGGCTTCCTGCAGAGTAGGGAGCCCGATGTGGGGCTCGATCCCAGGACCCTGGGATCATGACCTGAGCTGAAGGCAGACGCTTAACTACTGAGCCACCCAGGTGCCCATAAAACATCGTTTTATAACCCTTTACACATTTAAAAGCCATTCTTAACTCACAGACTGTACAGAACAGGCATTGGGAGGTATTAGGCCTGTGGCTCTACTTTGCCAACCCCTACTTGGGCTGTTTGGCTCTCTGGGACCTCCCTTCCCTGCATGATGGGAGCTTGGGTCCCATGCATGCCCCCTCTGAGGGGTCAGAAGCTCAACCATGTGTTGATCCCACATCCAAAGGCCAGTCTCATTTTTAGTGTCATGCTGGAAAGATATAAAGTCTTCATTGCAGCCCCAAGAACCTTAGACCTTTGAGAACAGAGGGTGCTCTGTGAAGCTGTACTTCTACCTTTTTTGGGGGAAAGGTGAGTAAAGGTGTCCTTCACCACCATACTGAGAATTTTAATAGTCCATTCCCAAGCAGAGCTGGAAAGAATTAATAGATTACCAGCAACCCCCCACCCCAAACCCACAACAACCCACAATGCTACATAATCTATATTCCTCAAGCTGGAGAATTCAGGAGTTACTGTGGCTATTATTAAATGCTTTGAAGGAACACGCTTGAAGATTAGTGAAGCACATGGCTGCTCCATGAGCTAGAAGCAGTAACGGGTGTGATGGGTTTGAGTGCCACACTGAGCCAGCAGAGCCCTTTGTAGAGAGATATGCCAAGAACCCTGGTTGCTGATCTGGTCATGTAGCCAAATATTTTTCGGGCTCTTCCTATAACTAAGAGGCAGGTGGTGAGTGAGATGTCAGAAGACTGGAAATACAGCATTAGGGAGGCCAGTCTGCACCTTTGGTATACCTTTGGTACGGGAAAGAATGGAGTCACATGCAGTACAGTGACTGGCTCCGTGTTGAGGTCAGCTACCACACTCAGGGCCAATGGTGATGGAAGGGGCTTCTGTTCCCTGTTGAGGGATGTGTTTTGGGGGAGGTGGTGCTGTCTCTGTGAGTGGCATTGCTCATTGTATCTAGAAGTGTTTTTCTCAGAGTGACAGGTGTAGAAGAATAAAGCACATTAAAAGCCATTGCAAGAGAGGAAATGACTCAGCTCCCAGGTAGAAAGGAAGATGTCCAGGTTTTTAAAAAGAGCACCAGTCCAGCCCCTGCTGGTGTTGACAGGGAGGACACAGAGGGAGAGAGGAGGAAGGGCTTCCAGAGGCCAGCGGGAGGAGTGAACAAGAGGTCATAATGCTGCTGAGAGCAGTCCAGAAAGAATAAAGACCCAGAAGGACCATTCTTGATGTCTTTGTTTGGGGGCTATGGGAACTGGGCTTGATTTCTGGGCCCTTGACTCTGAGCCAAAGGCTACAAGGAAGGTGATCATGCCTGAAATAGGAGGAGTCTTTTTTAAGTCCTGGCATATCAAGGGCATACTTGGAGTCTCTGTTCTTTACCAACCCTGCTTTGACCACCTCAAGCTGCAGTGACCATTCTGTTTGCTGAATGTTCTTTTGTACAAAATGTCTAACTGTGCTGTCCAATATGGACACTTAGTGGTGACTTAAATTCAAATTAATTCAAGTTAAATACATTAAAAATTCAGATTCTCAACTGCGCTAGCTACATGTGAAATACCTAATAGTTGTCTGTGGCTCGTGGCTACCATATTGGAGAGCACAGATCATAGCCCATTTCTATCTATCATCACAGAAAGTTCTATTGGACAGGCAGGTCTAGAACTTCCATTTGTCTTTGGACATATATCCCATCTTTCCAGCTTAGTTGCTGGAGCACCTCAAGGATATAAAGTGGACATGTAGATTTGAGAGCCCCATCTCTTCCTGGGTTTGGGGGTCACCATCCCCTGGATTTGAATCCCAGCTTAGAAGCTCTGGGCTTTGGGCCAAATAGGCTTTCTGAGCCTCTGTCTGCCTCTGTCTGCTTCTGTGAGAAATTGAGGTAATCATTCTGACCTTTCATGACTGATGTGCGAATTGGTAAGATGAAGTCATGAAGTATGACTGTGTGTGGTAGTTCTGTAGTAAGAGCTCACTCATGAAGTTCTGTCTGCTGGGGGCAGCCATCTGTCCATTACAGGTGGGTCATGGAACTACTTTCTCCAGTCCCTTCTCACAGAAATGGGCACGTTTGGCCCATCTGGTTCTGTCAATAGGCCACGTCCTCAGGTGGCCCAGGTCTGAGCAGTCAGGAAGCTGTGCCGAAAGGTTCAAGCACTATTTTCTAATACAGGCAAGCTTGAAAGATCTCGCCACGGTAATGAGCACGGCACCTCTGAGGAATGCTCTTTCTACAAGAATGTGGTCAAAACATGACCACAGACACACATGACCCCCCAGTAGCCTTGGTGCCCTTTCCAGAATGCTACTGGAAGTCTTCTCAGTCTGAATGGAACAGATATTTTACACAAAAGTGTTGAGAGCTACAGCACCTTCCAAGGTCTGGATTTGGAATTTAAATTTAGTAGTGTTCATCTTCCCTATCTCTAACTTACTGTGGGAGGGCAGGACTGAGCTGGACGGAGCCAAGGCCCAGTTGCCCAGGTTTCCTTAAGAGGTCAGAGCAGCCCTGTAGGCAGTGAAGATTGCTTGTACTGGTTGAATGCAGTAGTGTTTGCTCTCGAAAGTCTTCAATGTAGGGGCTAGGAAGGGAGCCATGTGGTTTCTGGACCGCCTCCCTTCCGCTTTGTGATGATGTCAGGAGAACAAGAGTGTACTTCCAAAGATGATGCATTAGGCTTCCCTCTGTGCTCAGAGGGGTGATTATTTACTCAGGGACCTGAGCATTTGGGGTGCCAGTGTGTGCCGTGGCCATGTGAATAATGGCGCCAGGGTCGTCGGCAGGACTTAATTTGGCTCTTGTCATAAGGTACACCTAGTGCTACTCGTCATGTCGCTGGGCTTCTCAGACTGTGTTCTTGGAACCCCTGGCTTTAGGTTCCGTTAGAGTAAGTAGATTCCGAGCCAGGAGATGGAATGACCTCCATTCTGGTTGTATTCCCTGTTCAGGATAGGGGGCTGGTTTGCTTCTCAGATGTCAATTTCCTTGTGTATGAAATAGACCTGCAACTAATTTATCCTTTCTACTCCTTCCTCTGTACAAATCCAGTAATTCCACAACATTTCAAGAAGAGAGATTCATGAAAACCTCCACCCCAAGATGCCCTGCTCCGCTTTCCCGAATAACTTCTTGGCATTTGCAAAATTCCATGTCACACCTCACCCCCTCCTTGGACCCTCTTTCCCCTTTCCCCTTTCCTCTTTCCTTCCCCTGCCCCATCCCCCATCTCTCTCTTTGCCTTCCTCTGAAAACCAGGTGCCCAGAGCACCCGCTCAGGCAACGAGCAGGATGCAGGGTGCCCAACATGGTGTCAGTGCTGTCTTTGGTTGGTGTGGTAACATGAAGATGACACGGTCTTCATATGACAGCTGCTGCTTTAAAGACATGTTGTTTTGCAGTATTTCGGATTTTTTTTTTGAAATGGCATTCTTCCCTTGCCCCTCCAAGACATGGCTTTGGTGGAAATTGGTAATTTTTTGTGCCTCCATAACTGCATGAAAAAGACTAAGCTCTGGGCTCCAATTTTTCTGCAATTGTTCCAGTCCTCTGTGAATTTTTAAGGTTGTTTTCTTAGCCTGACACTGCCGATTTCATCTAGAGCCTGAAAACCTATTGTTTTTTGGCAAATAAGACTTGAAACTGTTTACTCAGATGACCTATTAAGTGAAATTTAACTTTGAATAAATTTTATCCATGGAAAATTAAGTTAGCTAAATGTAATATTGAGAGTGGTGGACAACTGTAGCAGGAATGAACTCTTTGTAGTATTTATTTGTACACTTTGCAGAATTTTATTTATACACTTCGCAGTCTGTCTCCAGAAAAATCTATCATCATTTGGTTTTTAGTTCTTTGATGTTTTAAGGAAATGAGCTTTTCCTCAGAGTGCCTCCTTCAAATAAACTTTGGAAGAAAGAGCTATTTAAAATGATAGCCTTTTGTGTGGGCTTCACTCTGAGATCACTGGGTGTTCTTTTGAGAAAGGGCTCATCTTCCTCTCTCTGCCTGGCTTAATTGGGTCTAAGATC